TGCACAAAATGTTTGGTCTCTCAATGACAGCTCAGAACACAGTAAGTGAAAAATGTTCTTTTTAATTTATATATTTAATCCCCAATATCTAGTATGCACTGCACAGAGAAAGGCATATAATTTTAACCTCTGCATGCCTTGGATTTCCAGTCTGAACAATGTTAACCAAGTTATCAAAGCCTCCCCAGAATTTCCCAGGTTCAATCACCAGACACTGGTAGCCCCTTTTGTGAGGTCATCAACAGGAAAATCAGTGTCATGAACCCTCCACTCCCTCACTGCACCAAATCTGCAAGCAGGCAACTCTCTCTCAGCCTTTTTTTAATAGAGAAACACACTCATGAGAGTGACAGTCAGAAGATGAAGGTACGGGCTCCATACCCTGGTCTTGCCTCAAGGCCACGTGTCTGGCAACTGAAAAGCTTGAAGAAACTTATCTGAAGTCACAAAGGAGAAAGCTCAGTGATGACAGCTGATGACAATTCATAATATAATTACCCATGACATTATGCAGATAAACACAGGGAATAAGACAGCCAGCTGCTGTACGAAAACCGGTGTAATTGATAAATGAATATTTTTCATTCTAGATAGAAATTTGAGGATATAAATAATAAAACTAGTTAAATGTATTTAGTGAATATTCTTATATCAATGAAAACCATGAAAATCACAAAAGGAAATTCTCATGATTCAGGACTAAAAAAAAATGTTCTATGGAGTTTGCCCATTCACCTTTTCTTATTATTTTGCTTGAAATTTATCAATTAACCTAAAAAACATTAGTTTACGTATTTAGCCATAAAAGCTGGCATTACAAAAGGAATGGTTTTTTCCTTATTATAAGAAATTTTACGTGAAATTTCCCTGCCTTCACTTGAATTTTACTTCTCTCCTTTAAAGTAATCCTAATACATTTTTAACAATTATTTTAACATTTCATTTAGAGGACAAAAGGACAGATGCTCCTTTATGGGATCACTTGCACTAGTAATCTTTAACATAAATGAGGCTGAACATTGTTCGGGTATTTTTAATTTTTGCTGAGAGAAGCATATTTATTTTCAGAGATGAAGCTGAAAAACTATGCAGAGCCATACAGAGATGCCGTGCAAATGTAACTGCTAATTAAAATGAAAATTTGAAACATCCTATAGGAAGGTGACAAGTTCTTATCTTACAGAATGATTTTTTAAATACAAAACTTCTCACTTCTGATACATTAGCTCAGAAATCTTTTACTGGAGTGAGCTCATGGTATTCATGAGCCTAACAGATCAGAATCCCATGTAACCAGATTTCCTGCAATTCAGGCAACAATACACAGCCCATGCTGCTTCACACTCTCATTTAGCCTTAGTAGCCTCAGATCAAAGGTTTACCAAGTATTAAGAAAAGATGAAAAAAAAAAAAGATGCCTTTTTTTATATTTGATGTCTCAAACCGAAGCTGTAATAAATACTAGATAATTACAAACAAGCCTCCTGGAAGGAACAATTTTAATATAAAGCTTTAAAATATTAATAGTAGTTTCTCTTCATCAGGGGTGCTTCCTACCTTCTGCACTTCCAAACTCTGAACTATATCGCATCTCAGGCATATTTTTTTTTTTTTTGCTTGATACCTGCAGCACTCATAACTGCACTCATAATGGTTTGCTTGCCTTACTGAAGCAGATTTACTCTAAGAACTCTAGTTCGATCTGAAACATTCACTACAAAGAATTTAAATTAACTTTTGTGCATTTATCTCATTTTACAGGACCATAATGTAGGGCTGACAGTCACATCAGTGTGCTTGTGACTTGACTCAAGGTGCTCACCATTAATTACCTGTCATACTCCATACTACCACTATTTTTCTGGGGGAAGCTTGGAAGTGATTTCCTCAGGTGACTAACAATAATTCACTCCAGCAGTGAAAGTGCCAAGTCAGGGCAAAGAGCTGGCAGATCTGGGTAAAAAGTCTCACATCACAGCAGCTGCCTCTGTTGTATCTGACTCATGAATAAGAGGCTTGTTTCCTATCCTGACTTTCAATTAAATTTTGGTAAACACAGACATTTACCAAAATGCTTAGAACAATTTATCTGACTCCTGAATGAATGGTTGTGCATCCTGGAACAAAGTCAAAGCCTGAAGATCTATTCAGAGAAAATTTCCAATGATCAGTGAATGGCAGAAATTTCTGTCTCTGTTTCTGACCTTTGCAATATCAGCAGTTCAGATTTTCCATATTAACAAACCAGCATGCAAAGTACTACAAGACTTCAAGACAGTTTTGGTTTCTTCTCAACTCTTTCTTTCTTAAGGATCAGAATTGAGGGGAGGGAATGCTTCCATCAAGGGCATCACAACCTGGAGTTCATCAGACACAAAACCTGATCTTTAAATGCTTTTCCACCCTTAAGAGCCTGCTTTCTAGGGCAGCTGAGCTCCCACACCTTCACACTGCAGTTTGAGGGAACATGGATGCTGCCCTCAGCTTTTCAATGGAGATGGCCAGCGTTGGCGACTGTTGATGAAGATGCCAAGATGGCCTGGAAAGGTGCCCAGTTGCCCACACCACCTTCCAAGATATAGGAAGCCAAGAACATCTTAGCCTCTAAGTTTCCAGATATGTATCTTTTGACTGCAAAGACATCTCTTCTGGTCAAATAGAAAAATAATATTTAAAGCTTCTCCAGTCCATTCTGTAAGTCTGTAACTGCTGTCAACACAAAGCTTCCAGCAATTGTCATGGATCAATTAGCAATTATGTGTTTTCCTGACTGTTGATCTGAGGCATGATGGGAGAAGAAAATTAAAAGTTCATATCCTCCCCCTGCTTTCATGTATATGCTCATGGTCAGGCACACCTCATCCCAAACAACTTACGTTTAATATTGTGATCAATGTTGAAAATATTTAATATGCTAAATCTAATTTTATCCTTAAATAGTCCCCTATAAAAAAAGAATAATGTTTCATGGTGAGTTTTGCATTTTAAAGAATATTAGGGAAGAACTGCAAAAGTTATGAGACCTGCAATGAGGCCACCCATCAGTCCTGTGCTAAAGGCTCATGCTCAGAGATCAAACCAGCTGCTTACTTTCTTTACAGCTAGATCTGACAATTGATTTTGCAGATTTCTGAAGCTATGATTCCAAAATCCCCAATACCTGAATTTAAGAAATGTGCCAGCTGATTTTCTTGCACCACTGAGGAAAATATTAAAATGAAGGTATGCAATATACAATGTGGTTGGATAGATCAAGTGTTAAAAATGCATATACATATAAATAATTAACTTCTTAACGAACATACCAATGTCAATGACAATTTAAGGTAATTTCTATTAGCTTTTAAACCAAGACAATATTAATTCGATCTATTTGTTTCAGTTCTGCTTAAAGTAAAATTTCATTGGCTATTTATAACATGTCTTAAACTTCACAGTCAGTACTGAAATAACACCAGGTTTTACAGAGTCAGTTGTAAGAGATGCCAATCATTGCACTCCAAATGAGAAGAAGATCAAAGTAAAGTGCAGGCTCTACCACTCACTTTTAACATTTCCAAAACAGAAAATGTAGTAGTGTTATAAAGTCGTAGTAAAAACCCCCACCAATCAATAATTTCCTCAACCCTCTTGTCCCATTCAGAGATGATGAAGCAGAAGTTCATGCACACACAACATGAAAAACCTTCCAGCTTTGCACACCAGGAGGTCAAGATCCACTCAGCTGACAGAGGGACCTCTTTGGGATCTATAGGCACATAGCAAATAAGAAACCCTTCACAGTTTATGCCTGTATAGGACATGTCATTAAATTTAAGGCTATTAGACAGTTACACTGATACCTCCCCCTTCAATTACGCATAATGTACAAGCTTGTCTGTTCACAGGGCTCTGCAAAACCAGAAGACAAATGAAATTTAAACAGCTTTATAACATGGGAAAAAACCAGCCCTCCTGGCATTCATCTAACTTCAGCTAGGGCTGAAAGGTGTTGTGTGGCAGTTGTTCAGAGCTGTGTTTTCTATGGCTCATCACACATCTTGTACTCTACTGCCTCTTTGAAACCTCAGAAAAACATCCTCTCTTTCTTCTCCAAAAGCCACAGACATATCTTGTTTTGACATTATGTCTGGCCTGCAACATCTCATAGCAGACCATCAAGCTGTTCTGTCACTGCTGTTTCACTGAGCTCTCTGCAGTTCAAGTATGCCTGAAGGCTGAGTCCAATCCAACTGGATCTCCATTAGACAGAGAGCAAGAAGAAATTCCACCATTTTGCCTTTTTTGAGAGATGTCTGTGTACACGCAAAGTGATCAATATAAACCAAACTAGCCACCTCCCTAGCTTCTCAGTTTCTCATTTAACATTCATTCAACACCTACTGCTATGGGACCTTGGTATGCAACAAAAGCTGGCAGGTGTTACGACAGTTCAGCAGTTGTAAAAATTTAAAATTTGTTATGGATAGCTTAGTCAGCATTATTCCCATTATCTTAACCCAAAAAAAGACAAAAAACAACAAAACAAAATCAAGAACTTGAGATGAGTGAGATTAGAAGCCTGGTGTAAAGAACATTACAAGTAACTTAGCAGCAAGAACATTAGAGCTCCCTGAATTGCTCTGTTTCTCAATTTTCTTCTGAGGCTGAAGAGTTACAGACATAGTCTGAACCTAAAAATCTGTCTGAACATTCACAGTGATAAACATAGGCAGAATTATTACATTACTACGCAGTGCAAATCCAACTCAGTGTAAGGACCGTAATTCAGTGGTGGAAATCTGGAACTTGCAGTCAGCTTATTCAAGATTGAACTGAATTAATTGGCGACACTCTACACAGTAAAGCTGAGCAAACTAAGGACCAGGCAAGAAAAGACAGAGGAAAAACACAAGATGGAAGATGCCTCAGTCTCCCACCTTTCACACATCCAGTTTGAATAACAGCACTACATAGCAATGATGGGAAATTGGTAACCAAATCCTTTTATTTAAACATACCAGGTATCTTTCCTCCTGCCTCATGTTGGGGGTACGGATCATGTGATTCTGTTCTCCTCGCCAGTCTCCGAAACGTCGAAAAAAATAATTGGATAGGAATCGGTTGACAGGATCTCTAATAATATTGATGTACACGGGCTGGTCTCCTCCAAACCTGGTGGGAAGACAAACGGGTGAATCTCATCACAAGTTTCCACACAGACATGTATCTATTATCTCTCATCTGAATGCTTTTGAATTACTTCCTACAGAAATTCAGACCTTTAACAAGGTGAGGAATGAAACTGAGAATCTTACAACTAGTTTCTAAGCCTTTGTAAACGCATGTAAGATCTTTTTAGGATGAACAGTAAATATGGAATCACATTAAGCTATATGTGTACTACAAACATTTTAGTTGAAAACCATTTTTTACACTGTATCAACAGTTTTGCTTCTTGAGTCTTCTCCTTGCTGTTTTCAGATTAAGAACCTTCTGCAGACGAATCAGAGAATGAGCATTTCTTCTTCTCAACACACTTCTTATCTGGGCAGTCATGTTAGAACAGGCACCACCCAACAGTAGCTGCTCTAAGGCAGCCTTGGATCACCTTTGCCTGTACAGTAATGTAGTAATGTGCAAAGGATTCTCAGCTTACTTTGAAACCTTTTTTATAAAAGCTTTCTCTGGATGAACTGATAGATATGAATGGGATTTCCAAATTTTTATTTGCTGGAACTTGTGCAGAACCTCATCCCCTCATCCCCAGTCTGCACCACTGGCTGGTTTTGAGGTTATTTCATGGTTATGCAATACCTTATCCATGTATTGAACTTTTTTTTGAAAATCAATATGAAAATTCTTGCTTCAAAAAAGAAATTAAGTATCAATGTCAAATACATGCAAGTCCAAGGAAAAGGAAAGGGTAATACAAGCTGTGACCAGGCTTGCTCATAAGCAAACTGTGGTATAGATATCTGCAACTTAGAGATGAGAATATAAACCAGAGCAGCTTCACCACCTTGCATTTACCCTCTTGTACGCCTCTTCCTGGTGCCAAGTGACAAACATCTTGAGGTCAATAGTTGGGATACCAAAAGAGAAAAGGAAGAAAAAGAAGCTTGGGAATGTTTGAGACTATACTTTATTTTCAGAATGTTAAAATACTGATTGCATATTTTAGATCAACATACAGCATCAGGAGGGCAAGCCTAACTGGAAAAAAAAGGGCAAGTTGCTTATACTATTCCATGGTCAAAATTTAAAAATGGACATTCATGGAACAGACTTATGGACTAGAAATTCTGTGAGACAAAGAATAAAATAAAACCCTCCTGGACTGAGAAGTTCACAGGATAAATTCAACTTGGAATTTTCCTCATCTAAGAACATCGATTATACTTCTTTCTCCTGTTTCCCCAGTTTAAGTGAACAATTCTCACTTAAGCACTAGCTTATACTTTATTTTTGGGAGCTTGAGGACATAGCCATATTGAAGCACTTAAAAACTATTCTGATGATTTTCTGAGTCACAATTTATATAATTTCTTCTAAAGTGTAAAATACTAGATTAAAGAGAGAAAACTGAAAAAATCCTTTAAATTAAAAAAAATTCTCAGTTTCTCCTCATCTTTTGAGGCAATGAATAATTGAATTTGTATAATAATTGAATTTGTATAATAAAAGATCAGGGCTTCTCATAAATATTGAAGAGGCAGCAAAATTGTTTAAAATTACGAATTCTAGTAAAACACAAGAAAAAAATCTCATAGAGTTTAAACCTGATTTTTCTCCTGCATAATTCCCCAGACTCCTAAATACAGCCTACAAAGGCTTATCTCATGAGTAACTATGCCTATCAGTAATCTCATTTACCTTAGTGTTGCAGGATTACTGCCATAATTTGAAACTGCAGACAGCATAAAATTTTAAAACAATCTCATTAAAAAGAAGGCATATGCTCCTTGCTTCCTGATTAGTGCACAACCCAGTTTGGACATGGATGTGCAAGTGAAATATTCTGAATTTAGTACCCTGGATTCTTCTCTAAGCTTATCTTTGCTGCTTTTTATCTCTATACCTTTATACAGAAATAAAACCTACATTTCCCAAAAAAAAAAAAAAAAAAAAAAAAAAAAAAAAAAAAAAAAAAAAAAAAAAAAAAAAAAAAAAGCATTCCTGCAAATACTACAGGACAATGTGGGCATAAAGCTTCAAGAATATTTACTCAAATAGAAAGCTTTGAGTGGATGCTTTGGCCTGGTAGTTTTGAAAACTAAACTCTTCAAGTGAAATTGCTGGAAAGAACGGATTGGATCTAAATTACTGAATACATTATCTTCCTGCTACTTGATGCAGATAACAATAATCAAAAGACAGAGGTGAGTGGAGGAGGGCAAAGAAAAGGGGAAGCAGTAGGGAGTAAGAAGTGATGACAGGAGCGAGTTGTCTTAAGATAAAGACAAAAAAGCACAAGATTTATAGAAGCAAGACTGCAGAGATGTCCTTCTCCAGGCTCCATAGAGGATGTTAAACCTAAATCACTCATCAGAAGACTGAAAAATGAAAGTCAGACAGCTAAGAGCTGTCTTGATAGAAATTTTCAATACTTATTGTCTTTTCTGAAGTAAAAGGAGGGGTGAGATTGCATAACCAACCCTAGACCATAACCCCCAACCATATTCCCAGAGCCCATCCTCTTGCTGGTAAGGTCATGTTTCTGAACATGAGAAAATTCAGGGCCAAAAGCCCTGAGAAAAGAGGCTCACACAAGCTCAATCATCCCAAGAGGACAGCTGAGACAGGAGGTCACTCTTTCACAAATGCTACAGAGGAACTTCCATTTCCAAAATGCAGATTGTGTGTGCTCCCCACCTCCCCAAACACAGGACAGCTCAAATTTCTGATTTTCTGCATAATGTAACCAGCTGCTATACATCCAGCTGCAGGTTGCTCCACCAGGCAACAAGCAAGGAATTATTAGGAAAAAAAAAAAAAAAATCAAGTCTGTTCTGGTCCTTATTCAAATATGCATTTTTTTAAAAAAACACAGTTTATAATATTTCAAATTCCAACCATTTGTTTCTATGAACTCTACTCAGAGTCATTTATGGAAGTTAAGCAGCACTCATATAGCATAAAAAATCCTAATGGTTAAAAAAAAAATCAAGTACCTTAAGCTGTTTAAAGAAGAAAAGGGCAAATCAATGCTCCACTTGTTCAAGTATGTTCAGAACATATTTTTAGATACTTATCAATCACAACATATTAAATGCTCTCCCGAGTGAAACTTTTCAGATTAACAACACCCACATGAAAGTGCTCTTGGAAAAAAATAGATATATGCTCTCATTATACATGACATCACCTTATTTGCACTCAAACCCCTATTTTGAAAGATTCAAAATGGGACACGATCATATTTTCTAGGCCTGAGTAGCAGACTTACCTTCTCTGAGTGGGATCATGACTGGATCCTGCATGATGAAGTTGCACAAATATTCTCATCTCCAGCAGCACATCGGCACAACTGGGAAGAGTGGGCCAGGATACCATCACTCCACCAGAACATTGCACATGGATACAGAAACCCCCACAACATTCTTCCTGGAATTAATGTCTCCTGATTTATTTTATATGTACTAGTACATCCCATTAGTTTTAAGTGATCTGTTGTTGAAGGTATATTTTTGGAGTCCTCATAAAAAAAAAAAACATTTGCAAGCTCCATCAATGATATTTATCTTCATCAATAATATATTCCCCTATGACTTTTTTAATAAAAACAAAATAAATTTTAAAAAAGCCTGAGAAGTATGTGAGCTTGCCCCTTCGCATTTCTGATGAATTCTAATTTTACTATTTACATGATGAGTTTCTTCATTTAAAACCATTTACAAACCTCTTGCAAGCTAGGGGGAAAAAAAAATCAGCCAAAGTGATTTTCTTGACTTTAAAATGGAGGCTCTCTTAGCTCCTATTATTTTTCATTTCACTTCAGGAGGCTGCTGCTTTGCATTTAGTATAAAACTTCACAAAAGCAGAAGATGGTTTCTTCATCCTTGCAGGCAAAGCACAACTCCTCAAGGAAAAGATGACTCCCAACCTGTTCTCTGTAAAAACTTTGTCTGCCTCTTACTCTTTTAGCATACACTGTTTCCCCTTAAACAAAAAGGGTGGTTGCTAGAAATTCAATATAATGGAAGAAAACAAGAATTAACAGCCATATTAATAGGAACAGGCATAATATTAATAGGAACAGGCATATTGTGTCCTTCTTATAAAGGCAGTACAATTTCCTTTTCCAGTGCCATACAACTGAGAATCACACACTGAGAGTACAACTGCCCAGCCATGTTTACTCATCAGTTATGTTAGAGCCCTATTACCTGCCCTGCAGCACAGCTTCACAGGGAGGTCACATAAAAGCACTAAGATAGAACTTTCACCTTTTTAGGATTTACATAAGATGCAGTTATCTCAACATTTATCTTCTGAAAAAGTTATTTTGAATTATTAGTTTTTATAACATCTTACATCAGCATGAACCTGTGGCAAAGCAATCCCCTGCACGCAAGGCACCAGGCACTTCTGGGATGCTCCAGTGATCCTCCTCAAGGATGAGATGCAAAAAGGAACAGGCTGAGGTACTGCCTGCCTGGGAGTACATGGTACTTCCAGCCTCCATAATCAAGTTTGTTTAAATTCCTGCTCTTGCCTGTAAGTGCTTCTCTTGCAGCCTTCACCCTCATGCTGTGGTCATGTTTTTAACCTTTTCTTTAGAATTGGGGGCGTTAATAAAGGGCATTCCACTACTGATGCACCTATGTCACCTACATGGTTATTTCAGTCTTAGTAGTACTGGCATAGCTGAACTGGTACAAGGACTATATAGAGCAGACTTCAGTTAAAAACTTTGGCTTCATGAGGTCTTTTTCCTTTCTTGCAGAGTACTAACTAGGCTGCCTCTCCCCAGCAAACTGAACTAAAAGTTATGCCAGTCTGCTTTTTTGTTATCTCTCTCTAGTTTATCCTAGACACAAAACAAGTATGGCAGAGAGGTGATGTAATTATCATCCCTGGAAGCATTCAAAAAACATGTAGATGCAGCACTTAGAGACATGGTTTAGTGGTGGACTGGCAGTGTAGGCTAACAGTCAGACTTGATGACCTTAGCAGTCGTTTCCAACCTTAACAGATCTATGACGCTATGAAATAAGCATTTTCATTTCAAAACTTTATCTTTGATTGACGTGCCCTTCAATAAGAGGTATGTGCAGGGATACAAAATGCCCAGTGGTTCAAGGTTAACAGTAAAACAGTGCACACTCCTCATCAATCACCCTTTCTGGACCTGAGATTTCAATAGTAGAAATTTCAGTTTCTGAAATGATGTGTCTGGGTCACATCACAGTAAAATTACAACCAAGTCCTCTAGGAATTGTTTAGTAAGCTGCCCCAGACCACTGAATGGCTAAAAGCCTTATATTTCTCTATCCTGTAAATCTACCAGAATATTTTAGGCTGTATTTTGTCAGTCATTTATGTGTGCTAAACAATTAAGGTCTTTTTTCTACTCTATACTTTTCATTCTCCTGAGGATATCAAAGAAGTTTAATATATAAATTCACAATGAACAGCACCAACATGGATAAGTATTCTGCACAGGTCCCAAGTAAAGGAAATACTAATTATGTTTTCATTTATGTAATGCAAAGTTACAGCTAGAATCAAGTAAGAGAGTAAAAACTAACTCTCCATAAAAGACTAACAGCAGCTAAACTCTGCATTAATTAAAATCACCTAATTCCAGATACTCTGTATTTAAGACTTTCTTCCAAAGGTCTGGCTCAGGATCTCTCTGGACTCTGATTAATGTTTCACTGTAATTCAGAGATGCAAATGTTGTGCATTATGTAGAAGAATAGGAAAAGTAATTACAAAGTATTACAATAAATTTCCTGCAAGTAGTAGAATAGCTGATACAGCTCTTTGGAAAATATTAAATCAACAAACATGATAGATAGAAAAGATGTATTTTCAAAATTGAATGAGACCACAGATTTGGCTGAAGTAGTTACATTAGCATAAAATCTTAGGGCTCAACTTCTTAGGAAGGTTATTATGCAAAGGATGCTGCAATGTACTCAGCATTGCATATTCAACTTTCTGTATGAATACATTTATCAAAGAGAGTATGGGAGACTCCAGCCATCGTGTGGAAATGGCTGTTGCAGAGAGCAAGTCAATGTTAGGAATGTCCACACGGGAACTGAAATACAGTGAACTGTGTGTAACAAAAAAATAAACCATTGTAACTCAGCAGTATATATCATGTGTACAATCTACAAAATATAAAAATCAATGTAAGTGGAAATTATAACATGGCTGCCCTGTCGCAGATACGAAAATCTGTCGTCAGAGAGGGAATGTAGACATCACTTTGCTTGAGGCTATGAACCTACACAGTTTAATGTGATTATCTGTGATTAGAAGCTATGTGCAAAGTGGTAATATTTCCAGAAAACAAAGCTGCAAAAAGAGGGAATAATGAAGGGAGTGGTTTGTTGATAAAGAGCCGCTTGAGCTACCAGGCAAGAAAGACATAAGGAAGCATTTTGGATGTAGTATAGCAAATGAAACCCAAAGCATCTAGAACCTGAAGCAGAGCATTTTCACAGAGAAGGAGTAGTTCTGGCAAGGACATGCATACTTCCACATATTATCAGCAGTGTGGGAAACCTTACAGTTCAGAATAATAATCCTAGTTTCCCTTTTTCTGAGAAGCAGGAGGAAAGAGGAGCAAAGGCCTGACACAGCACTCATGTGACCATTCACAGAGTCCAATTTCAGAAAAACATGAACAAAGTACAGTGCAGCATCACAAAAATGATGAAAAAAAAATTAAAGCCTCCAGCTTGCAAAAAGAATGAGAAGGAAAAAACACAGAGAAGGCTGAGAGTTGACTGCATGACAGTGTGTAAGAAATTATACATGAAAGTACACCGGTGAAAAATTTGACGAGTCTTTACATAGTGGACAAATGCCCTCTTGAGATCTAAGGAAAAGGAGTCAATTGGATTTCTCTGAAAAATTAGGAATGAAAATAACTCATAATTTACTGTCTGGGAGAACAATTCTCTATTGAAAGAATTTATCAAGTGCAGCAGATTCTCTGGTACTGGTGATTTAGAATCAAGACTTACATTTCCTTCCTGAAAGATGCAAGTTTCAGGTTTAAACTTATTTATCAAGGATAAAAAAGCTTCAAAATTACTCAGAACTGTCACTGTCAATCTTTTTGTCTGAAGGCAAGATCAGCTATGCAACTGCCACTGCCACCTTCAAAATCCTGAAGTACAATCTAGTCTGTATTTGCTTTGCTGTCCTTGTTGTTCTAACCTTTTCCTAAATGTCTGATCTAGGACTCGATACAATTCCAGTCCACCACTTGTGTTATCATTATTCATTAAGAACTGCATAGTGTTATAACAGTCCCCCCTTTCCCTGTCTTCTCTAATTGCTTTTCTTTTCCTGTGATTTTAGGTAAATTTTTAAAATTTCTTATTCTTCTTATTCTCTTTTGGATCCCTCTGGACTAATAATCATCCTTCTTAAATCAAGTTACTCTCAAATTGGTAATCTGAAGTGATTGTGAGCATGGAAGCTGAACAACAGTAAAAACTGGATAATTATGGAGTTATGCCTGGCCTCACCATCAGTAACTAGATTTCAAGCAACAATCTCTATTCTGAGAATATCATGTTATTAGCTCAACAAAAGATAAAAATTCCATTATGCAAAGAGCACAGGAAAACTCAGGGAATAAAATCTAAACTAAATGATCTTAAAATGTGTGGAAAAACTCACCAGAAAGCAATGCCTTTTAAAAAAATAAACACCAAAAAAACTCTGCTTAGATCACATAAAGGTCAAACAGCACATTAGATTTGTGTTTAGCCTTCCATCAAGTCACAGTTAAAAAGCATCATTACACACTCACATAATTAAAAAAAGGTAGTATAAAAAAGGAAAAAAATATGTAGGAGGGATTACAGCACCATGTGGCCATTCATGAAATGTGTACTTTACAAGGCAGACCTCCCATGATGGTAGAAAGTATTTCATGATGTGTTAGCAAAAAGTACAGATTATAATGAACACACATAAAGACACAGTGTTAAGGCCATGCACATGAGTTTAGCTGACATTTCCCTACTTTTAACAGCTTACCCAGAGAGTAATTTTGTTTTTTGCTACCATATTATTAATGACATTTCCCTAAGTGCGTAATTTTTTTCAAAAGGAGAAGAAAATCCCACAACACAAAATTAGTTTAATAGATAATCTTGGGCTGCAATCATTGTTTCAAGGAGGCATTCAAAGAACCTAATCCCTCCCACAGCTGAACTGTATAGAGTCAGTGCAAGCTGACCCAACTACTTTGCTCTTTGTACGAAGTATACCTGAGTTTGCATTCAAAGGGTCCTGGACATTTAGCATCTTGCTATGCCAGCTCCATGCATTTGC